CCGGGCCTAAATCTAATGTCTCTGAAGAACAAGACGTATCCCTAAACGAGTTCTGCAATTCAGCTACAATTTTTACAGTATGCTACCATGCGCCGAAAATTACGATTTGTTACACTTAAAAATTTTTTGGATTTGCGTAATAAAGCTGATCGCAATAACAACACAACTTTTAACTTCCTCCTTTTCTTGGCTTCCTGTGCTTTCTATACCGGTACTACTCCAAAATCTAAAGCGATCCTGGTGCTTCATATCCCTTGTACTTTTGCTTTTTCTAATCGCAGACGTTCTCTTAGGTCGCACATTTGCGAAAATCACTTGTTTTCATGTAGTTACGGGCAGCTATCTGGCCAATCAAACCTATATCAGTTGGACGTCGTTTGGGAAAATGACAGTAGGCTGACGCTTGAGTTAAATAATTTAATTATTTAACTCAAGCGTCAGCTCACCACAGCGGCTCACGAAAAAAAAAACGCAACGTTTTCTTATTTATTTGTTCATAAGAAAACGTTCCGTTTTTTTTTCAATTTCTCATGAACGGCTCAATCTAAGCTCACGGCCTGAGCTTAGGTTAAGCCGTTCATAAGAAACTGAAATGAACAGGTGGTATTGCTACTGAAAAGTTGACTCCAAAAATTCAGCGCGATTAAAAACCTGTTGCATTTGCTTGGAACTTCGTGAAACAGATCAAGTGTGGCAAGGTGCAGAGATTATTTCTATTTCCATCAAAATGCTTCTTCTGAGGTCATATCGTTTCTTTTCAATAAGGCATTCAAGACGAATATCAGTGTAAAGATGCGATAAGAAAAAGCCTTGTATTTACATATCGCCACACTCAATCTACTGCTCGAGCTTCCCTTAGCGAACTTCCCAAATTCCCTGAAGCTTTGGCAGCGAACTTACTTCCTTACGGGCAAGTCCGTAGACTTCATTTCAGAAGCCTACAAACGATTTGAGCTAATATGAGTTTTGAGGTCATAAAGTGATTTCAGTCTATAAACCGGAGTTCAAGTTGAATATAACCTGTCCTATGTATCATTTCTCAAGCGCTGACCACCACTATAGAACTAGGGTTACCGAAAAGGATCGTAGGTTTCAAGCTCAGCCAAGCACTGCGCCCAAGTATATATAACAAGCGATTTTGCAAATATAAGACTTTAAGCTTGGGTCTACAGTCTAAATGAAATCCCAAATGAGGAATATAAAGCGTCGAAAATGTCTAGAGATTGAAGTATAGTGATTAAAAAGTGCCGAAGACGAAGAAGAAAATAGAACGTTAATTTTTGTAAGGCTACATGAATTGTTGAAAAACTTCCTTTCTGTGACATTCGAAAATGCACTTTAACGTGAATCATAACTTTGTCTTTTTCGTTGATCTATGGAATTTTGCATATGCTGGTTGATGCAGTGCTGCTATGTTGATTAGCATATAGCTTATGAACAGAAGAGAGTCGAATGATATAAAGCTAGGTGAATTATCAGCGCTCCCTCTTTTCGGCACCTTCATGCAATGAAAGTCAAGCTTCATCATTCATCGGCAAATCGTTCGA